GTAAAGTCGCTGAACACTGGTAGTTCGGTCCGAGGTTCGAATCCCGTGAACGGGCAGGCTGCATGAGTGTTTTCGTGGTTTTCCCCATGTGTAACGTGTATACGAGCCAGTTTCCCTTAGAAAGTCCTCCACGAATGCATCCCTCCCCTTAGGCAGATAGCCGTCGAGGCTTTGGCGTAATTAAATAACCTAACCTAACCTAACCTTCATATCACGATCGTTATTTCTGAATTATATTTGCATGTTTACTGCGACAGAAAAAGTATCAAGTAGTACGAGCAATTAAACTATATGTACAGTAATATGCTCTCTTTCATATCTGCACTAAACACTCCTTTGTTTTTCTTAGTAGAGCAGTACCAGCTTTATAATAAGTACATAAACGCCTAAGCAAAAACCGCTTAATTTTCCTATTTAATTCAGTTATTTCCGGCTTTCTGCCGTAAAAATAATACCTGCTTAATTAATCTCTGTAAACTGTGTCATTGCAAAATTAATCGTTTTCACACGATTCTTACATTACGTTAGTGATGCAAGTACGTACTTATATAACGGTTCGGTCAATAATAATATTAGAATTTTCGGATTGAAACTTTAATTAACCAATCAGTGTGAAGTTGAATCAAAACTGAATCAATCGTTTCCATATCTTGGTAGTATAACCTGCGCACTCCTTACCCACTTTTCAGGAATGTAAGCTGGCTTTTGACTGTTCTCTGTCGCTCCAGTAATTGAATACGATAAATATGTGAAATGTCTGGCTAAAATTATCTAGCAGCATTATCATTTTTCTAACATTTGTATTGCTTCAGTTGTGTGGATGTTGCGCAGAGTGTTGTGGATGGCCGAAGTCAGCAGAAAAAGGGAAGTGTAATGCTCGTGACTCAGTATTTAATACTTCCCGTACGTGTAGATGGTATTCGAAGATATGATTGGTCAATATTAGTTTTAGTTACCTTTTTCAAGCAGTGTTATGTAATTTGGAATGATCTTGAATTTGGGAGAACAGATAAATTTAGAAGGGGGAGCACCAAATTTAGAAAGTTAATTTTGAGGTCGCCAATTATTTTTTAAAGCTGCTATAGTATTTTATTATATTTTACTCACTCATATATATATATATTTAAAATAATGACCATGCAAGTAGTTTGTGTTCAGTTCTGATACAAGAGAATATATATATAGATTAAATATATATGATGCAAGAGAATATATATGAATATATATGATGCAAGAGAATATATAGATAGATAGATATAGATATATGTAATAATTTAGGGAAGAAGAGAGAAGATACAAATAATTTTTAATCATGCCTAATGTTTGTACATGGTACTGTCTTATAGAACGCATAATTGCGTAGTAAACTGAAGACTACAGACAAACCTAGTCGTAGACAACACATTATATTTCAGGAAAAAATAATTCTTGAGACTTAAATTCTGATTCAAACATCATAATAGGAGCAATTTGAACCCAATCTTCATCATATTTTGGAAATCTACTACATCTTAAAACAGTAGATGATACGGAGAAGTGAGTCTTTATACGATACTTGAATGTGAGCCAGCGGGAATGTTCGATGCGTTTAGAAGGAAGCATGGGAGAATATCAAAAGTTTTTGGTTCCTAAAAATGGTTCGATTTCAATTGAAATATTATTCGTTTATTGGCTAAAACGTAACTGCTGTGACATATGCACACCTCGTACTTCCAGGTGCTTAAAGAGATCTGCCTGTTTGTTCAGAGACAAAATGGACAACAGACCTCTGGAAGAAAGGTGCAGCGACGGGGGGGGGATTCCGCTGCACCTTTTTTCCAAAGGTCTGATGTTCATTGGTCTATTATAATTGGCTGAATTACTGAAGCCAAATGGCTTCAGTAATATAAAAAAAATAAGTCTTACTTAAATGCATTAGTTTTATTAGTATTAATTATAATAATAAATATTTAATAAAACTTTTCATGCAAAAAATATTCCATAAATAAATAAAATATTTTTTTCTATCCGAACTACTGAGAATCCTGCTACTTTTATGACCTTTTAAGGACCTAATAACTTCTTAAATTCTTTTCTTCACTACTATTGTTTCATGAAACTTACCACATTACCACTAAGAGAAAATTTTAAAGGCATTTTCTCTCAGATGAATTTGGACAAAAATAAATGAAACTGAGATCGTCTTCCCTCACACTGTGATAAAGATACAGGTGTAAATATGCGTTTCAGAAGAGTTCATTGGATGTATTAATGTTGAGTAGTAGACCCCAGATAATTGAGTAAATAATGGTGTACATTGTTTCTTCAATGTATGGAAAGAAATAATTCAATTTTTGTATAGAATTTCCTCTCATTGCCATTCAGTTTAGTTTTGCTATGCTTACTGTATATAAAAAAATGTGCATTTTGGCGAAGACTAGATTTTAAATATTTCGAAAAAAGGATACTTTTTGGATGAATAAACTCCAAATTCAGACTTCAGATTTATGTCGTTAAAAATAAAACTATATATTCAGAAAATTCCAAACGCTTACAACAAGGAGCCTTTGCCGTTGACAGAAAATTTATCATTTATAAAGAAAATAATAGGAAGCATAAATCGTAACACCATTCTTTAAATAAAATCTAAATTAAAATATTAAAATATACATTAAATAAGCAATTCTAGATTAGATTAGAATTAAAATTTTTAAATAATGTTGGTAAATTTTGTTAAAAGCAGTATTCTTCAAAATATTATAACTCAAAAGACAATAAAATACCAGGATAATTTTTGTAAAACTAATTTGAAGATAACGATTCAAAACGCAGCACGTGCTAACCAAGTCGGCTTCATAAGTTCTTTGCATTGTGACACCAAATTTGTATTTTCTATAAAGTAACTTTATCGCTTTTTAAATCTGCTATTGTGAATAACCCTCCTGATTTGACAATGACCTCCATGAATTCACAGTGGCCAAAATGGAAAAGCATGCGCCTGTCAGTGGCCAGAGGCCTGACATATACAGAGAACTTTCAGTTGAGCAGTACTTTTAGTGTCTCTGTGCCAGAAACAGCATTACAAAAATTACTACTAATACCCTGCTAACTACTACACCGAAAAAGATGGTGTATACAAATGTATGCTAAATTACATTCAAATATGAGTTACGAATTCCTCAAGAATTAAAATAATTAAAAACCACCGTTTTTAGTGCCTGAGCAAGGAATTGTAAAAATGGAATTTTATGAATTAACTAAGAGAAAATATTATAAAATGGAATTTCTACAAAATTTGAGCAGATTTGCAATTACAAGGATTCGATCAAAAGTAGTGGCAACACGTCAAGAATTCTGAAAGGGCTTTATTTCCATAGGTTAATAGACAATATTCCCTGAATATAATTACTTGAAATGTGTACCGCTTTATGCCAGATTACTAGAAGACGTCACACTCCACTTTTGTCGAAGCTTCACAGAAAACATTATAAGCTAGGACAGCCTCTTCTGTCGTCATAATGGATCCCTTACTGTGGTTCTTTTATTTTGACCAAGAAATTATAGTCACAAGGACTCATATGACGGTAATACAAGAACTTCTGTAAGTTTGCCGTTACAGGAGATCTGTGACAACGCTTGCATTATGACACCGCACATTGTTATGGAGGATGACACGATTTATCTCCTGAGACGTCATCTGTGTCCAGATGTGTCCATCTGGGTTATCCATAAGGGGATGACACTTATTGGAACCTTGTATCACTATCCAAAACAATGTGCGGTGTTATAATGCGAGCCCTGTCGTGGAGTTATGCGACGATGGTGATAGAAAGTACGAGAACAGCAGCCGTATTCACCTGATATGATTCCATGCGACTAAGATTTCTTAGTCAAAATGAAAGATCTATTGCAAGAAATCCCATCATCTTCCATTAAGGTGCACGGTTTCATTATGCAAACGTTGCCACGCTCGCTTCAAAGCATCACCAAAAATGGCGTATAACGTCTCCCAGAAATTTTGCAGAAGGGCGTAGCTATGTCAGGCAATTATATCGAAGAACTGAAAGTATTCATAAAATGTAATTAAATGTCTTTAGAATTACCAATGTCTTGCCACTGCATTTTATTCAAACCTTGTAAATGAATGGGGAAAGAGTGTGAAAAGTACATTGTGATTATTTTTAAATGGTAGAACATTCTTTATTATGATCTTTTTGCGGGGACGGGTTCTAATCATTATTTAGTATTCGTTTAACTGTTCATTATAGCCGGTCAATCTTCTTACTGATGCGCATGTTTTGCGATAGTGCCAACATAAGTTCTGGCTAAATTTAATTTTTGAAATATATTTAAAATTTTGTCTAGAATAATTGCGCCTAAAATTGCTTTTAAGCACCCTGTAAGATTTATCTCTACTTTTCCACATACACTAACTTAGATCCTACAGTGAACCTGGCGGATTCTCGCACAGGCGTGAATTAAATACCAGCACAGAAGAAGAAGGGTACAAAATAACCCTTTAATAAATCAAACTAAATTAACAGAAAGCACGGATTTCGTGCATTACAAAACACCGTTCGCTTGCGGCGGTAACTAAACGTAGATTATAATACAAATTAAACCTGAAAAATAAATGAGTGCAAAAACGCACTTCAAAATTATTCCTAAGAGATGGACTCACAGGAATCTAACCGGCGTGATACGAAACTGATAAGGCCAAGAGGCTTACTAGCGTGACCGCGAAATAACAACGAAACGTGCGCTTGGCTAGCGAAACACGCTCTGAATAAACTGAGATAATCACACGTTTAAATAGCACTTGACTTAACTTTAAATTTATATCCTGGCGAGAGAAGTGATAGGAAGTTGAGAAGTTGAGGACAGGAAAACTTACAATAAATTTGTGATGCAAAATAAGAAAATCCCTACAACCATTTTCATAATCTTAATTTCAATGTTTATTCAGTATAAAAATAGAAACTTATATGTTATTTTAATTTATTGTTTTACTCTTATTTCAGCTCAAAGCCTTTTATGTGGACTTATTACTTCCATTAGAATCAAATTTGGAAAAGGATACGAAAGTCGTTGCGGTAAGAAACTTTTTTAAGTTACGTGCACTCTTTTAAGTTACGTAGTACCTAAATTAATAAATTGGGATAAGTTCAGAAAATAAAAAAAAACAAAAATTATTTTTATTTCTTCATTTCTAAAGCAGAGTAAGTTCAAAAACGCTAATTCCATCTAAGCCAGAGTTTTGTTTTTACACACACAAAATATATACACAATAAAAGGGGGCCTGCTTAATGTAGTTTCTGCTCAACTCTGCTGAAGAAATTTCTTATTTCAGTACACCCTCTAAACATATCCGAAGAAACCAAATTATTTCGGCACATACTTATTAATAAGGCCTCCAGTATTTAAAGGTTGCCAAATAAAATTCTATGTGAAAGTTTTCTAAATTTTAATAAAACAGAAATTGCGTCCAACAGAGATACCAAAGCGAAATGAGACCAATCTCTTTTTTATGTGCATGTATTATTAACTCTATCCAACTATCAATTCAGCTTGAAAAAGTAAGTGGTACCTGCCGTTCGACAAATATTCTAGATAGAATATGCTATTATGGACAAAAGGGTTGGGGACCCCTAGACCAAAAAGACAATTTCTGCTTTTCAGAATTTCATTCTTAATTTAGATTATTAAGTTTTATTATTAGTCCAAAGGGATTTGAATCCCGAAGGACTATTAGTTTCGTTTTGGCATTTTGCGTCGGACTCATAAATGTCGGTTCACTTTTCAAACTGTTGCCACAAAATGTTAGAGTCCTGCATTATATTTGAAGAAATTAAATAATGAAAAATCTGCATAAATGTATGTATATTTCTCGTATTGTGATAAAACAACGGTACATAGAGTCATCGAATTTTGAATAACGTAACGTAATCCTCCAACGAATATGAGCATGTGGAAGACCAAATTTGAAATTTGAAATTTGTTTTATGATCGATTTCCTATTTTTTTTTAAAACTTTGACGAATTTTTGATTAACAAACTCAAGGATTTCAAAGCGAGCAATGGCAACGTTGTGCAGAAAAAAATCATTTTTATCTCCAGCGCGTGAGTCTCTGTATCGGAAATTCTAAAGATATGCTCATTTTAAAAACTATTTTGCGATATTGCTGTTGAATTGGAATTTTATGGTTTAAGTGCGAAGAACATGATATTTAACAAATAAGGTAACACACAAAACGTTAAAAAAACGTAATTTAATTTGGACGTAATTTAAAATCTGAAACATTTCAGATTTTTTTTTAATACTTTTATTTTATTTTATTTCTTCTTATATTTTTTTTTGCTCCATTTGCGGTGCCATTGTTATATTTGCTTATTTAGTAATACTATAACTCACTTGTGTAAGCCTCGTGATATACTCTGTGAAACAAGAGCAGTTGAAATTCTACTTAATAAAAAACGTAATGTACTGTAAAGAAATTTTCCTAATCATAAATAATTGTAAGAGCTCGAACCTGGGTATTTGACAAAAATTAAACATTCAACCTATATGATTAAACTTGTTAAATTATTATTTGGAAAGTGAATTTCACGGATTCAGTAATTAACAAAGAAAATCGAATTATAGTACCTGATTTATTTTTAACACAATACTAAACTAAGAACTTTGTTTTATACGTATGATCTTTGCACAGTGAGGATTCGAGATATGTAGTGCCAGCCATTCAGGAAAATATTTCTACGGATTTATCGGAATATATTTTGGGAATTTGTGACAGTTGGGAAAACTTGCCCATAGACCGCGTGATCTAGAAGTATCGGAAAAACTAAGTTGGATCATGCCAAAAATGTGTGACTGCTTTCATTTTATTTGATTATGACAAAGCAAGCTAAGGCTGTTTGCCTACGTCGGGGCTCTTGTCAGAAAAACTGGCTCGTATGCACATTACAAATGGAAAAAACCACGAAAACTGCCATGCACCTAGCCGTTTGGTCCGGAATCGAATCCATGTTTAACTAACAGTGTTTAACGACTTTACCACACAGCTACCAGTGGGCTAGAAAATGCATGAAATTTGCGTGGTTATTAATCGATTTTGTCATTTGCTACCGCAATAGCTACAAATCTGTTTACGAAACGTTTCGTTTTTATACCTATAATCATAAATGTATAATTATATAATATTTTTTCTACCATACTAAGAATTGTTGAAATAGATATTGACAAGCAGTGGAAATCTTTTGTATGAAAAATGGACCAAACTTTTGTATGTTTGCAATAGAAGTTTAAATATATTTCGTTTTGGTACTACTTTGCCTATAACTAATATATTCTTTCTTACCTAATGCATTGTAATAATAAAATACATAATACGTAATAAAATATGTATTATATTGTAATACATGTTCTTGGAAGGTTTCAATTTAATAGTTTCTCTTAACTTCTGAATAGTTTTCATAGTTAAGAGAAATCAAAAACAACACTCGGAGTTTCAGTCGTTCGAAGTGTCCAACTCCGTAAATCCTCAGTTAAAATATTAGTTGCATTATTCATAGCATAAGCATAAGGAAATTCTCAGATTAAAGCAAACTAAATGAGCATAAATTAAGAGTCCATAAACATTTCCATACAAGAGCCATTACAAATACAGTGTACTTTAAATTTTAATAAGCGTATTCCAAGCACTTCATGCGATACCCCACTGTTATATTTCTTCCACGTAATCTTCATTTTTCTGTATAATGACTGTCATACTCTAGTGATTTCAAAGATTTAATATTGTACTTAATAAGTCGTTTTTTAATGTTACCTAATGCTCAAGGTACCAGATGATTTAGATCCTCCAGAAGTGGTAATCTCTATCATTTCTATAAAACATGTATTCTGATCTACTAAGAGATCATTACAACGCTCATATACAGCGCATTTTCCTACGTAAGGTCTTCAGCCTGATGAAGAACCATTGATAGTACCATATCTTCTGCATGGGCCATTTCAGCTACTCTTTAATAATATACTACTCTACCAAAAATAATTATTGCAGTTAAACTTCAGTGGGAGATAGAATATTGACACATTTTGGTAAACTATTTAGCTGGCGAAATTAATAACTAAGATTCCACTAAGAGACGTAGGAAACCAGAATAAATATTAAACCATTGGCGTTGTCTTTATACATTAAAAACTAATCTAGGGAAGACACTTTTTTACATGTTTCCGACACTTCGTAGTCTTGCCATTTTATGAGATTCATTTTAAGTGGCATTAATTGTTCAAAATATATTTACGAAATATTACGCTTTTAAGAAATGAAAATACTTTAAATATCGCTCGTTACAAAATAAATGTTCTGAAAATATCGCTTATTACAAAATAAATGTACAAAGTATTTCTCTGTTAAGAAACGAGATCTGTGTTCTTTTCGCATGAAAATACATAGAAATATTTTATAAAACTAATATAAATCTAAGATTAAATTTTATCTAAATTTTAAGAGAAAATGTCTATGCAGTTTGTTGTATCCTCTAGTATATGTATGTACCTCTAGTATGTTGTATGTACCTCTAGTATAAATCCAGCATTGGACATTTTTCAGTTTACAGCTAAATCTTTTATGAATTAACTACAATTCTTATGTGGCTGAAAATGTTATTTATTATTTTTAAATCATAAAAATGGGGAGCAAAATGTCTTTGAAATGCATAACTGTATATCAAATGAAACACTGCATTTCTCTCAAACTACTTTTTTTTCTTTTCCACCGTTAGGGAGAGCACAAGCGTTTTCTGCAACAGCACAAGTGTCACCACGATTCCTACCAAAAGGCCCTATCCATGTGCAAAAAGCATAAGAAAAGGAGCAGAACTAGTATCTGCAGCATAGGTAAAGATGTCAAAGTAAGTTTTATCTTTTATTTCACAATGCCGCGAAGCGTCGATATAATAACGACTAAGGAATGACTTTAATATCCTTTGAATCGATTGACTGTAGTCTGTTATTGCAAGGAATATCATCTTTTCTCGCAGAGCGGTGGTAGATAACGGTATCACTTTACGTGTGATTCGTTTCAGATGAATTATGAGCTTTGGCTGTGGAAGTGGTGTTCTAGTTTTTTCCACATCCTTTGTTTCATTTAAAATTCCGCAGTTTTTTATTATGAGTTATAATTCTATTCCATGCAAATTCAATTTATTTATTTATTTATTTTTTTTTTTTTGTCGTACATAACGTTACATCGGTTTCATAAAGGACTTTTTTAGGCACAAAAAGTAATTTTTATCGTGTAACGCAAATATAAATTGCTTACGAAAGGTTTTATATTTGTTTATCCGTTTCGAACTGCAGTTTAATTCTCACGACTATTTCATACATAGGCCTTATAAGGTATTTCTACCGCCTTCTTAGCATGCCTTTCTTAGTGTAGTGGTCAGCACGCTCGGTACGTATTCGAGAGGCCCGTGTTTCGAGTCCCGGCGAAGGTGTTGCTCATTTTTTCTCTCTCCTACTTAAAAAAATATACATAATGTCTCTACTGTGTCGCCCGAACTAAAAGGGTAGTGGATGATGATTCTCCACCCCCAGGATTTGGCGACTATATCCCCTAATCACCAGTCGCCCTTTAAAGGGAGAGCATATAAGGTATTTCTCCCGCCTTCTTAGCATGTCTTCATAGTGTAGTGATCAGCACGCTTGGCGCGTATTCGAGAGTGCCATATATTCTGATTAGCGCGCGTTTTCCATTTGGTTACACTCTCTCTAAACTATTACTACGCTCGGTTGTATTTCAGGTCCTTGATAGCTTTGCCAGTTAGTTAACATTTAGGGGCCGACTCCTTAGAATTTCGATAGTTTCAGCTATATCTATTTAGTTAAGCATTGGTTAAGTTTTATTTCTGAGTACTCTTGAGTTCAAGCCCAAGTAGAGGCCAAGTAGAGGCTTCTGTAAGATCTAAGAAAGGAGCCGATTGTACAATTCTTACTTTGAGAAATAAAGGATAATTAACCCTTCTTGACATTACGTTTCTGTTTCAGAACTAAAGCGATTATTCGCTCACCAGTTCACGAGATTTCTATACACTTAGCTAGAGAGGAAATGTTGGAACTCCACAACCTAATCATTTATTTGTTTATTTATTTATTTATCATAATTCGAAGGAAATATGTTATTTCCATATAACATTTAAATCCTTGTCCTGACGGAATTGACGAATGCAATTCGATATAAAATAATCAATAAGAATCTTTGACCAGTGTTGCACTGCGCAAAATACAAAACCTCTCATTTATACTCCCCGCTGCCTCGCACAGAGTGGATCCTCAGAGTATTATTATTTGGCATAGAATAAGACCTTTAATTTATCTTTCAAATTTATTGTTTTTAAGAAACAAAGCAATCTGAAAGTAATGCGTTCTCACTTCGGAAACCAATGCACATTCCCAGAAGCCATTTCTAAGCGTGTTACCATTCAGCCAGTCGTAAAGTTATTGAATTATTTTTCTTATTTATTGTCTTTTATTCATTAACAAATTTAGCGATTTTAAAGCAGTATGTTGCCATTCAGGAAACAAAAGACCCTTTATTTATCTTTCATAAAGTTTATTTTGTTAAATGTAGAAAGTTTATTTTCAAATTTAAATTTTGTCCGCTACTTACAATTTTCAGCTAGCCGGTGAAACAACGTTACACTCTGAAATATTAAACTGTAATCTGAAATCTCCAAATTGCTGTCTCCTTGAGCATAATTACTCAGATTCAATCTTTTTTTCCAGAATAATCGAGGTTCTTTGATACTGTATTACATTTTAAAAAGCCTCAAAATAGTATCGAAAATAACATTTTAGAAAGAACGTTAAAATAAAAAAAGAGTTAAAACTTAAATTTGGAAAACATGTTATTTCTATTGTATGTATTGTCTCCGAAATGTAATTGCATTTTAGTTGCAGTTTTTGAGTTTTGTTAAGATAATTTTCATCTCCTGATTATTTATAATCTAACAAAATCTGGGTAGAAATAAAACATTTTATTCGGCCAGCTGACAAATTGCTTATGCTGCTAAAATTATTTTTCGACAAATATATTCCTAAGTTTCTGTTTGTTGAAGAATGCTGATTTCTTTCTAAAAAACACCATTCTATTCTCCTCTACACCATTCAATTATATTTGAAAGAAAAATAATACCATGATAAAATAATAAAATGCCTTAATATTCTATCCCATTAAGAAACAAAAGACCAGAATTTTCTTTGGAACTAGAGGCGAAAATGTGAGGCTCAAAGCTACGTTAATTGCTGAGATTTTCTTCAGTCTTTGTTAAAAATATGCTGAACGTTTTGAGGAAATTTTGGTGTAAGTCGAAATTTCCTCTTAATTACTTCCTTACTTTTACTGATGTATATAATCAAATATCCTTTCTAATCTCTTTACTCAGATTTAATAAACTAAATATTTTACTATTCATTATTCCGCCGCGTTTTGATCGAAAATGACATTGTTGCATTAAATATACTTTGTAAAGCATAGCATATGAACATAAATGTTCTTTATTGGAGCTACGTAATATATGACGTTTTGAATATCTTTTATTAATCGTAAAAAAGACTTCAAACGTTTAGAAGACATATGCTCAATACGTAACAACATAAAAACCCGTTGCTAATATCATCGCCTTTACTATATAGCCAACAAATAACGTATCTAATTCCTTTTACTGACAGCAGAAAAGATGGAAAATTTTAATAGCATTGTAGTTACCTAATTGTTACCTACCCATTCACTATGCCTTAACGAAACTTAATAAAAAGCAGAATTCTGTTGTTCTTGACCAATATACTAATTGACATGAAAAAGCATTTTTACAATAAATGTTATTAACCTTCTCGATGACAATCGTAACATTTAGCGAGTGATCAGGCGACTGAACCAAATTACAGGTGCAAGTGAGGCATTTTGTTAAATTCCAGAACAGGATGCGTACTCCTGCATATTTGCAGTGATAGATTATTAAATGAAATTTATCCTTCTATTCAAAATTAAGATAATTTTCACATTTCATCTATTTTATCCTAAACTGATGGACGGATTTTAACCCAATTTGATATGTATATAGGCTAAAGTAATGCAATATATATATATATATATATATATATCATAGAGCAGGCATGAATACACACGCAGGAAGATCAGTTCCTTTCACCAGGCAAGGTCTTTACAAAGCACTTCTATTCTTTATTAGAAATCGTGTTAAATTTTTAATAATATCTAATAAAACAAATTCATATCCTTCTTCATTTATTCTTTGTGATAACTTATTTTCAAATTGATTGTAAACCAGCTGTTTTAAATCGTAATACTTTCTTTGAAGTTGCATATGCGCAATGCATCTGCCAGAAGCATAAGTAATGAATTGCATAAAATAGCATAAACTCTGCATGTTGCTGCATTTCTTAAATAAAGAGGAAAGTATATTACTGACATCTCTGGCAAGTGAGAAAGATTTGAAACGCATTTATCTGTTGAAGAAAGTTAAACAATATCATAAGAGCTAATTGCACTATTTAGCATCAAAGACCATAATGATCGAAAAACAAAACGGCATTTTGAATTATCAAATTTACAATATAGGAACTCAAAGGAGAAATAAAGTTCCTGCTTGCTTAAGGGAAGATGGAAGAATCAAAGAAGGACTTCTTGCTTGTTACAGAATACCTAAAAAACTGATTGTACTGCACAAGGCAGTCGGAAGTCATAAGCGCAGGGGAACAGTGAATTTGCAACACTATCCATTCACAAAACCTCCTACGATTTGTGAGTACAACCACAGAATAGCAATTCGCTTGCAGCCCTGATTTATCACTCTGAGATATCTTTGTAGTTCGCCCAGCAGAGAAAATATCTTCTTAGATTCTGCTTGGAGATAAAGAGTCATGTGAAGAATGAAAAACCCCTGCAAACTGGACACTGAAACTTCCGTACATAGTAAAATAAGTGCATCAGTAAATATGGTGAACATTTCTTGATATAATCAAAGGTTTTACAGATCCATGCTTTCTAATTTAAGAAACCTCAGGGTTGTGTTTATACGTATATATAAGTAATTCCTGTTTATAATAATAACAGTTTTCTGTAATATAGGTAATTCCTGTTTGTTCTCTTTTTTTGACACCTATTTCCTAGCCATGGTAATTGGCTAGAAAATAGGTGTCAAAAAAGAGAACAAATAGATGAGTCAAAAATTATGCTTTTTTTCCCTTGGGAAACTTAAATTATGATAATAAATAAAGCTGCGCGTGGATTTCGAAAAATGAATCTGGCATTCCAAGGAATATATAACTGAAGTTTCACGCCAATGGACAGAGTAGTGCCAGTTAAAAGTAGTAGGTTTTGCGTGACAGAAAGCATTTTCTCTATCCTGAAGAAAGACAGGTTATTTGTTCACTTGCATTTTATTACTTCCTTTTTATTTGTCGCTTTTATCCATCCATTTATCATTTTTATACATATATATATATATATATAGTAATTTATTTACTAAATAATATTGATTATATTATCTCCTTAGAATTATCTGAACAGAGTGAATCCATACTTAGTAAGTTCTATTTCGAAAGATGTTTTGAAGTAACTTGAATGTAAATTGTTAAAAATGTTTAACTGGGACTGGAATTAAATCATGAAACTAGAGCATTTTTTTGTTCACTGCTTTTTGTCTTTATAATTAGTATACACACAGTTTTCAGTCCTAAAATATAACTGGTAGAAAAAGTGTTTCCAAACCATAAAGTCTCAAAATGAAGCTCATGCTTTTCATTTGTTTAGAACACCAGAATTCGAACTTGAAGTTTAAGAAAGTTTTAGCAAGATATCTTGTTATGGGTTGTTATATATTGCTTGGAGGCTTCTCGAATGTTTGCTTTTTGATAAATGTCTTTTTCTGCATAAGAATATTGCAATGTGCACCCAGAATCATTGTTACTGATATAAAGTTATTTCTTGAAATTTCACGGAAATAATTTCTTCCAAATCCAGTTCTAAATAGAAAATATTCGTAAAAATGTATCTCAATTACTTTTACGCCCCTTTCTGAATAAAGAATTGCCTGCTTATGCAAAAAGGAAAGAGGAGGAACGAGCACTGATTTTGGCATTATTCTCGCAATTACCACTGAAAGTCATAACATAGCGCTGAAAGAATCGTTTTACTCTTTATAGAACTCCCTTTGTTCCGATTTTATTTCCCGATTGTTTCGGAGAAAACACTCTTACCCGGATTATTTCGAATTCCGTCCATTTCCACAGATGAGTAGGACGTTAAAGGCAATAGCTATCATTCTGGTATCAGTTTTTATGGTTGCATTTAAATACTTTAAAGAAACAGTTTCGCTGGGAATCTTTTATTTTTATGCAGTGTTTTTATATGCGTACCATCTTTATTTATCATTATTATGATTATTATCTTACAGCAATTGCATGCAATGGAGGACGAGAAGAAGAAATTAGATGGCTTTTGTGAGCAAAGTTTAAAGCAGGTAAATTAGCTTTTTCTTCATACATTAATGTAAAGGAAAAGAATTGGATTATGCATATTGGTTTTTATTGAATAAAACAAAAACACTTTTACTATCAATCCACTTGTGCAAGTTTATGTTCTTAGATATGGTTGAAGAGGTATTAAAAGAGAAATTTAGGTTTTTATATAGTATGCTGAAATTACAGCCGTAAAATTGATTTATATTCATAGAAGCAACGACGAAATAATGTGTTTTAGTTTGCTGTTCAGGAGAAAAATGTGAAACATTTTATTACATTAACAGATATCGTTGCATTATAAGAAATATGCACGAAAGCTTTTGCTTTTTGATTTATTTGGAGCAAATAACCCCATCAGACGTGAAACAAATTATCGCTAGGTCTGAAATAACTTCAAATCATGATAAGGTTTTAAATAACTTCTTTATTTAAACAGAAATCTAGAACGAAATTACACTTTATTGTGCTAACAGTATCAGCTACACCTCGCGGTAATGCAACTTAACCGAACAACCAAATAAAAATTAAAACGTGGAATAGTAGTCAAGCACATTAATGTTAATATACACCAAGCTGGTTCATTAATTATATCAGAGCGTCAGAATCAAATTGTCTGCAGAGAAGATAACGCAAAGATGAATAATTAAATCTATTTGAGCTGGCTGGAACTAACACGTAGCGTGCATTAAAAGCCAGAGGCGCGTTCTTTCTTAAAATCCAAAAACCGCAGTTTAAGTACCAACTATCTCATTTAGGAATACGAAACGGAGAAGTTAGAATACAGATCCAAATCATAACTGAGTAGTTTTAAAAAATAAACTTACAGTGTACCCAAAAATAACTGGAATTTAATTTAAGCAGTTGTATTATACATTAGTTTGATATAATTTAATTCATGTCAAAGTTTTTTCCTCCAGCATCGCAACAGTTTGTATAACGTTTTGCCTCTAATAAAAGTATAGAAACGATTCTGGGACTCTTGGCATGGATTCATGACATGCAAGATGAAGCTACGTAGTTTTCTGCACCCCATACACATCAATGAAATCCTTTTTTCAACAGTTTAATTGCTTTTCGAAAGCTTGCTATATATATGAAAGCAGGAGAAAGACCAGACTGAGCAAGAAGATATGGCGAGTAGCGTGAGTGAGATATAAGCACTATCCTGCTCTTCTCCGGGAATTGTCAACCAGACAACATTTCTTCAGAAATATGCTGAATCAAGGGTCTTCATAAGTAGCCTGTCACACCGCTTCAATGTTTTCCTGATTTCTATTATCTAATAACCGAATGTGAAATTCACGATGTAGCAGTTTTCATTTAATATATCACCATTTTTAAATCTGGAAAACTCCTAGTCACAAAAAAAAAAAAAAAAAGTCTTGCATAAGTTTTATTTTTTGTGATCTCCCATCACTAAAAGCTACGAGCAGAATAACTCTCAGATCACAAACTAGGACAAACCATTCTATCCAGAATCTAGATTAATGCCACTAGGTAAACAGGCTCTTGGAATACCAAGGCTGACAAGGTTTAATGGCCCGATCCATAATTACCAAATACTTGCTTAGAACTTTGTAACTCTGCTTAATTTTGAATCCCCGTGTACAGATCGGCACCACTGTTTCCTATCATTTCATGATCAAGTGCGTAATAAGTCATTGAAGTAAACGTTAGAAAATAGAGTCTACTTTAAATTTAGGTAAAACACAACCTTAGATTATTGTTACTTCAGTTTTTAGGATTATAGATAATTGCAAATTAATTAATGACGACTGAAAATATAGGAAGAATAATAATTTGAAACACACTTATTTCAGAAACACCTAATGACTTGGCTCAGATCTGTCGGCCTTTAGCATCGAATGGCTTCTAAATAACTCATTTCAGGCAATTAAAGCATCGCAAATTGCAGTTTGTCTTTTTGTATTGTTGTAACATATAATTATTGCCCAATAGGCATCATCATATATTCATTTATGTTTGAAGTCAGTATAAGGAGTATATCTCTTAAATAATAAATTATACAGAATGTCGAAATACCTACTACTTCTTACACATAACGTAAAATGAAGCAAACATTGGAACTACATTCCATGTATAAAAAGGCAACATTTATTTAATCATATAAGCCACAGCATTTAAAATTTTTTTCTAGTTTATTAAAATAAAATTTAATGGAAACTAATAACAAAAATAGTAAACGAAACTTAACGCTTAGAAACGGAGTGGTACTGTTTTCAGGTATGAAAAGAAAAATTTATTTAAATTATTGAAATATATCAATACATAGTTAATTTATTTTATTGAGAAAAATTGTACGTAAACCTATTAATAGTGTGAATACACTTGAGTCCATCTCCGCCATTTTCCTTCGGCTATAATAGACATATTAATTTTATTCAATAGTTGGATATTTATTCTCAGTTGTAAGAAGTAGCAATACATAATTTCATCAGAAGCATCAATTCAAATTAGTCTTCATGTGCCAACAATTAAGCAACATAAAGCAATAGAAAGTTTGAACGGACTAATTAGTCGGAACTACAGCAGGATGCTATACGGAACGACTGTAAGTACGAGACACTTGATGAGTCAACTCATAATGAAGAGGAGTAAGCAATAGTAAATGCGTGTGGTGGATAAAGGCTATTGCGCCACAGAACTTTAGGGAGCAATATATAGATAAAATTCCACGAAAGAAATCTTCAGCAGCGTTCTGTAAAGAAATGTTGGTGCTTACCTCAGTTTATTTTAACTAAGAAGAAACATTCAATAATTATTTGCCAAGAAAGAGATACCATCGTGGAGGCTGATGTTTATCTAAGGCATTGGGAAGTACCTCGAAAATAGCCATGTAGCTCGCCCGTTTACAAAGATTCGAAACCACCTGTTCGAACTACTGATTTTTAGTGGCTTTATGCATTTGCCTTTGGATATCTTTGATTGGTGTTTAAAGTAGCTAGTCACACAACCGACTTGAGCAGTTGTTACTAAAGTGTAATGTTTATGAACCTTGGCCCCCCAATCGGTTCACGGAAAAGAAGTTGATTTCTTAGCATAATTTTAATCCAGATATTATAAGCATGACATTTCGAGAAATTGTCTCATGTTGGGGACATTGTCACAGATTATAAAACCGATATATCATTCTTTATGACTCACTAATTTGGTATTTTACGACCCCGAAGTCGATGCGACATGTCCTATAATAAAAATTACATTGAATCAAACTTTTGAGGTGACAAACAGGAAAGGTTTCTTAATAAAAGAGACATTTTTAACTAAACCAAGCAATTTTATTAATAGAAGGAAAATCATATTTATTTTATGTTAATCTACAAGTTTTATATTATCACTTACTTAAAAATTGTACTGCAGCTATTAATCCTAGTGATTTCAGCAAAAAAAAAAAAAAAATTGTCTGATGAAGTATATTTCTTTTTTCGAACTTAGACAATTTCTTACTTAGAAATTAGACCATTTCTTTCTAGACTGTCTTTTCTATCTCGAATTGCTAAGCGATATGATTGTACGGAATATGTAATTGAAAATATCTAAATGCCAAAGGATAGGATACAGAAAGCATAGGATATAAGCCCAGCTGCTAAGTGCATCTTCTGTTATTGATCCCATGGTCGAAACTGAATAGAACTCTTAAGGTTCAACGTTGCCATATTTGTCTATTTCCCTTCTTTAACCCTGAAGGGAAAACACAATTTGCTCCGCACCACCACCGTGGAATGGAGCACAGAAAGAAAAATAGTCTGGTTGATCTATTCTTCTCCATCTTCCCTGCTACTATTCTTTTTGTTTTTCTTGGGCAATCCATTTACATTATACCGACCGCTACGTGATAAATAACAGATTGTTTACGTTCGATTCTGTTTATTTTTTTACCCTTCTTTGCAGGCGATCACTCAAGAGCGCCGAAGATATGGGTTCGTATTGGAACGCCAGTGCTCCCTCGCGAAACACTACTTGGCATACCATACGAAGGTAATATTGGTTTTTTCTGTTTTCTTTTCTGTTGTTACGCTTGCAAACACATACTGCTCAGGGAAATCTGTTATGCCAAAATCAGCTGCTTCCCACTTTTGACTTATTTCTTTTTTTTAAATTTCTGTAACAGTATTACAAAAGTGCTCATTATCTGTTGAAGTAGGAACTATGAGAAATTTACAGACTATTTGTCGTAACGTGTTATTACAAAATTCAATTGTCGTCTAATATCTTTCGCACTTTTCGAAGACAAAGAATATATTTACAAAATTTGATATCAGGAATGACGAGCATAGTTAAATAAAAATCGCGGAACAAAGGCAGGGCAGCTGATTCAAAGTCAGTTCAAAAAACACTGGAAAGAGGAATAATTCCTATGGTATTTAATAGAAAAATATTAAAAATATTGTTAACAGTTTATTTGTATTTACAAGCAATTTAATTTAGGAGAAAAGTCATTTGGTTATGCAAATTAAAACAGTATCTGAAACAAAAAGAATTAAAGCAGTATCGAAATTATCGTAATTTCTTCCTTTCTAATGACTTTATAAGGACACTTATAAATAAATATTCATTAAGGAAACCAGAAAACATGTTGTATATGACATTAAGGAACGGTTTTTGTTTTTCAAGAGAACCTAAGTAGTACCATTGTGTTCGAATTGATGTAAAAAGTAGTCGATTGTAACTTCTTGTTTCTTACGCTACAATATTTACATTTTCGGGAATTCGTACAAATAAACTGCATATTGTTGTTGGTAAAATAACTTTATTGTAACATCATCTGCCATTGTTTGTTAATCCGTCCACACAATCACTGCGCTTACACCGCGTGATTGGCAATTTAAGCGGAATTTACTATGTACAGTCATTCAGAAAACACTTTTCATTTGACCAAATTACGTTCAAAGTTCTCTAATTTGAAGGACAAAATACAATGCAGGCAAAAGTGGATGTATATTTAATCAAACTTTTGTGCTGCTAATTCAAAATGCATAGATGAAAATTTATTTCAAACTGTCTTCGCAACCTATGTTTTTAGCTATGTAATAAGTTGTGGCCATTTAGCAAAAGAATAACATATTAAAATTCTTAATTTTGAATCTCTATTTGAAACTATTTAATTCTATAAATTATTCCTCTCGAACCATGGAATAATAAGACAACATAAAACATTTAAAAAATCTCGAAGTAATTTGTGTGTAGATTCATTAAATACAAATATAAACTCTGAAACTGAAGTACCTCCGTATCGTATGGAACACCAATATATATCCATGCAATAACTAAATTAAAACTTGAATCAAAGGTTGTGAAATGATCAAAAAATAATTTCAAACTCAATATATTTATTAGAAGTAAATGACAATTATAAAATACCTAGTCCTGATCAGAACAGATGAATAATTTTTAATTATTTTAACTATTTAAAATAAAAATTATATTAAAAAGCAGTTTTTTATTTTATTAAGTTTTAGTCTCATCATTACAAATCATATCATTCAATTAAAAACCATTTTTCAGCCATTTTAACCATGAGTAAAAACTGTTTTGCTTCCAAAATGTTTGTTAGTATCTATAACTTTTAGGTAATATATATTATTTTTTGTGTATAATCTCGTATAAAAAAATCAGATATTTTATCTTAATTATCTTCATTGGCACGTTTTATTCTCTCCAGTTTCGCTAGTGTATTATTGGTATGCGTTCTTTTGTTGAGTCAGTTTTGTTGTATCCAGCTCCATAATTTTAATTCGTTTCAGTGACTTGACTCTACGAAAAGCAGCTGTGCTTCACCTTTGTACAAATAATTAAAACAATTCCTTAACAATTATTAAACGCTTTGAAAATGTCAACCTGAACGATCACTACGCAGATGTACGCATTCGAAATCTCATAAATTTCGAGCTAGAAATTACATATAAAAACTTTTGTTAAGAAATATTATTTCTCCGCGTTGCATTTTTATCTTTGAAGAGTGTATGTTCAAAGTTTGACTCGACTGATTATCACGAAATAGTTTAAAAATGGCAAGGGTTTGACCATATCGATAAACACCATGAACGAGTTAAATAAAAGCGTATAAAAAGCATCAGGATGCCAATTTCAGTTGACCAAAATTCTAAAGTTTCCAAGCAAGCAGCTACTTAAGAAATTCACTTATGAGTTTTACAAAAATAAATAAATACGCTTTTGTGTATTTCATGTGCGAAATCTGCACATAATTCTCATTCAAGCATATGTTTATTCGGTTTGTTGTAATCATATTTAATTTAAAAGCACATATTTTGAGTAATAGTAATCAGCTTGCTATCATGATTCACATTATGCTTGAGAAGCCATTCTCTTACATCTTTACGAGTACAATTTGTAATTATTGGAAATGCACGGAAGTTTACTTAACATGTTTCAAAATAAGTCAGTTTCAACAGAATTTTAAAGCTGTCTTAAAATAATTTATTATCTTCTCAAAATTACCTTCCTTTAAGAGTCACTAATATCTTTAAATATGTAATGTATTCCATCGAATTTTGTTGAAATTTCGTTTAAGAATAAAGTGCAAAGATGGTCTTACAACACAAACGTGCAGTCATGAACATCAAATATCTCTACAATTTGATTTTACAGATATTGCAGCGATTAGGTGATGAATAGTTTAGAGGAAATCTCCCTGTTGTATTGCATATGGGCCTATTCCGGCTGCTAATATGAACGGGAATTCTATTGTAGCGTCGGGACGCTAGCGGCCGTTTAAATTCCCACTCAATCTTCGCCCTGAACACTGGTTGCAAGTGGACAAGCAGGACAAAGTGGCCTTTGTGCGATCCGGTCATTTCAAGATTAATTCCGGACCTTTATGCCTTGCTTCCTTCCTCCTGCAATCCTTCAAAAGCGAGTTTGTTGTCCGGCGACAGCTCCGGAGTACAATGTATGGAGAATTGCACATCTAAGCGCGAACGTGATTGGTAGAAGCTTGCGATTCCAACAATCTGATTTGTCCAGCTGCTTGGTTTAGTTTAGGAGCCATTTAATTGAAGATCTAAGACTATTTAGTCTAGATTTACAGAAGTATGGGTGATAATTATTGAAGCAAAGTAATTAAACTCCATTTTTAAACTTGTTTATTTATTATATTAGAATATATTTTTACCAGTTATGTTATTAAATGTCGGATTTTAGATTTTTTAGTCTTCAATCAAATATTATATTATACATATATATAGATATTATATCAGATATTAAAAATTATTTAGTATTACCCGAATGAAGCTTTGTACTTAAACTTATTTTCGAAACATATTTATATTAATATCTCCCGTTTAGAATTATTACAGGTTTTCCTCCCATTCTAGCACTTCTTTTTCAAAATTTGCCGAAAAAGCACTTAATTTCGTGTTTTCAAATCTTTTACAAGATTCGTAAAGTTCAAGAGTTCAGACATCCTTTTCTAAATTATAATTTGATAAATAAATTTTAAAGCAGATACGTAACTTCTTTTATGACGAAAAAATATTCGAGAATTTCACATTAAAATTCTAATCATTCAAATTTTCATAATAATTAGAATATGCATAACACAAAATCAGCTAAGCACATACAAAATTTAATACTAAAACATAAACATAGATTATAAAAAGCACTTTTAAAATCAGCAAATACTTAAATATGTATCAAATAAACACTTAAATTTCAATCTTAGAATTAATGAATTGTATTACGAAACGTCCTATAAAACATGTAAAATTGTACAAACGTATTCACGAATCTATTTAGATGCAAAATATGTAATTATGAATTTAAAATGGATAATTTATTAGTTAGTGGAAGGAAATTAGCAGGGTAAAGATCATTGCACTTTATTTCATGAGAACAGAGAAATTTAAATTAATATTAGTTTACAATATTTGCTAAGCTTGTTTACTTTTGATACTTATTTCTGTAATGTTTAAGCACGTGTGAAATGTAGCACAACATTGGACACCATTATCAAAGGCCATTTCTGTTGCTACTACGCAGAAGTAAATGTTAATTGAGTATAAAGTTGCCTATACAGCTAACCTATATATATCTAAAGTAATAAAAGTTAAAAAATTAAACTATCTGAACAAAAATAATAACACACTTTTGCCTTTCTTGCAGAATGTTTTTCTCGATAAAAAGAGAAGATAAATATAAATAGCTGAAACAGTACACTAATCTTATTATCTAAGAGTATGCCATAAATAAATGAATTATATGACTGCTTTTCCTGAAGAACTTCTAATTACTGAAAACATAGTACTTTAATATTTGTAAACGTATGTTAATTGCGTCATTAATATTACTTACGTAAAGCTTAACTTCCGAAAGTGTATGAAAATAAATTGCCTTGGCTTAATTTACTATCATTTTATTATATGCAATTACTTACATGCATAAGATTCTCTTTTTTCACGTGAAAGAAGAACATAAATTTTATTTTGTAGCTTAGCTTATTGGTCTCTTGCAGTTTTTTATAGATAAATATTTAAACTTAATGCAAAATTTAGATTTTAAAATTGTTGCGAAATAGTAAAGAACGTAATAAAAAAATCAAATAAATTAATTATATCTCTACATCAAAGATTGGTGTCAGCTTGAAAATGGAAAGTTTTATTTCAGAAATCCTCAGCCAGTGATAACCATTTAAATAATTTGGATAAAGTTCCAAGTAATGTAAGTAAAATGTTTCGGAACTTAAAAAGTAAGAACTCATGTCATTTTTAAGGGCTTTAAAGACGGACAACTGAATGTAACAAACTTTAGTGACAAGTAACCATAACGATAGTAAGTACATCAAACTACAACGAAATTTTTGCTTCTTATTCGCTGGCATTATAATAATATGCTAATTAGAAATAAATCATATTCCATTGTTGCACATGCATAAGAAGTATACTATTTATGTAAATTTTTACTTCAAAATAAAAAGAATTTTATGATATCCATATGTTTTGAAACAAATATTTTAAGAACTA